GCCCTCCCCTCCCCCAGCTCCGGGGATTTGAATGCAAACAAAGCGGCGGCGCCGGGAGCGTGGCGGAGCCCGGCCTGCGTACGCCCCCTGTCGGCCCAGGACCCAGCGCGGGAAGGGCGGGGGGCTGGGGACACGCTCACCCTCGCTAGTTCAACACCTACCCAGCACTCCCTCTGCCCCTTACCCCAGGCCGGCCGGGACCCCGCGGCGCGCTCCGATCTGGCTGCACGGCGGCGCCCCCACCCCCAGCTCCTCCCAGAGCGGGGGAAACGGGGCAGCCTCTGGGTGGGTGGAGGGGTGCGGGGATCCCAGAGGTAGCCCCTAACGCTTTCCCACTCCGAGTGGTGGCTGCAGGGCAAGCGCTCCAGCCGAGGATGGGGCGGTCGGCTGGGCTCGGGAGCTGGCTTTCCAGGACAACCCGCCTCCCAAGCGGAACGGGCGGGGGGCCACGGCAGGGAAATCCGATCCCACAACATCGGCCTCGGTCCAAGCCCGCCCCAAACTTTGGTGGGGGAGCCGGGGGCAGCTGGCGGACCTGGAGAGGATCCCGGCCGCGGACCCAACAGGATAAGGGACACTGTCCCCTTAGCCCCGGTCCCCCGACCAGTCCCCGCCTCCAGACCCCCAGGCTGTGGGCTCTACTCGCCCCGCTCCGAGCCCCCGCGTTGGGCGCAAGAAGGATCTCGGACGATCAGCTGTCCCCCGCTGCCCCTCCCTGCGCCCCCAGACCCTGTCCCTCGAGCGTGCGGCCGCCCCTGCGTGAGTCGGGGGACAAAAGCGGCGGCGCCTCGGAGCCCCGCGTCGCCCTGGCCTCACTCACCTCCTCGCCGCTGGAGTCCCTGGGCGCCGCCCTCGCGTGCGGCTCCGATCCCGGGCCGCCCCCTCCCGCCCGCGCGCGCCTTCTCCGCGGCCCAGGTGCCACCGCCCCTCAGTCCCGGCTCGACTCGGCGTCCCTGGGCTCCGGATCCCCGCGCCACCGCGGCTGGCGCCGGCTCTTTCTCCAGCGGCCGCCACTCCGCCCTGTGTGCCTCCCACTCTCCCACCTCTCACCACTCCTTGCAGCTCCAGAGCCTCCATGCTGAAGGCAAACAGGGCCTCCCGGGCCCCCACGTAC